ATGCATTGAAGCAACTGCCATGTGATTGGTTGATTAGATAATTGCATTAATGAGAAATTGAACAGGTGTTCCTAATAATCCTTTAGGTGAGAGTATATATATATGTATATATATATACTGTCAAACGATTAAAATTTTTAATCAGATTAATCACAGGGTTGCTATGGATTAATTTTGATTAATCATGATTAATCGCATTTCATTTTGCATAAGCAAACAGATTCAAGAAAAAATGAATATATATGCACTTAACATGTTTATTGAACATCTGGAACACGACTCGGATGCATTCCATCTGGCACAGAAGTGAAATACCATGGACCCATATCAAAAAACAAGAATTTTTGCTTAGCCAGACAACTTGTCAGATTTAAGGAACCTCAGTTTTAATGGTCTTTATCTTCGTTTACTTACAATTAGCCTGAACTACAGTAAATCTGACAAATTATCCGACTAATCATGAAATCCAATTCTAGTCAGGTTAATTGCAATTGTTAGTATCCGATTTAATGAGCCACAAATGAGAAGTAGTGTTTAAACAGGATAAAACTACAACTTTCCCTTCTGTTGATAAATGCCGCAGTCGTCTTGGATTCTGAACTCGGGATCCTCTATGCTGCTCCGAGAAATGGGAGCGCGCATGGCGTCACTTCTGGCAAAACTGGGAATCCGACTCGGAATACGAGTTCCGAGGGCAAATGAAACGCACCAAAACTGCCCGAAATGGGTTGAGAGAGACATTTCAGGGATTGAGTCATTCTGCGCTGCAGATGGGTTAATTGCGTTAAAAAATTTATCAGATTAATCATGATGATGGATTAATCCACATTAACCCGTTAATTTTGACAGCCCTAATACACACATATACATATTTCATATACTTTTTATACATTATATATTTCAAGCAAGAATATTTCAGATGTTATGTAAAATTCAGCACTTTTGTGATCTTTGAGGCGGCTCTTAAAAGAGCCTTTGTTTCGGTGTTTCCACTTAAATTCAAGCACGTTCTCCACGGATACGGCGAGCCAGCTGAATATCTTTAGGCATGATGGTGACTCGCTTGGCATGAATGGCGCACAGGTTGGTGTCCTCAAACAGACCAACCAGATAGGCCTCGCTTGCCTCCTGCAGCGCCATAACAGCTGAACTCTGGAAGCGCAGGTCGGTCTTGAAATCCTGAGCGATTTCCCTCACCAGACGCTGGAACGGCAGCTTGCGGATCAGCAGCTCGGTGGACTTCTGGTAACGCCGGATCTCTCGCAGAGCCACAGTTCCGGGCCTGTAGCGATGAGGCTTCTTGACGCCGCCTGTGGCCGGAGCACTTTTACGTGCCGCTTTGGTAGCCAGCTGCTTCCTGGGCGCTTTGCCGCCGGTGGACTTACGCGCTGTCTGTTTTGTTCTCGCCATACCAGCTACGTCCCTGTATTTGATAAACTACCTACTGCTTTGTTTTTCATAAAACACATACTTTAAAAGCAACAGTAAGCCGTTTTGATTGGCTGAGTTTTTCCCCACGTCTCCATTGGTACAGCGGCGCATTCGTTCCTCTTCTTATTGGATGAGGAGCTTTGGCGCACAATTATACCCCCCAGCCTTTTCAGGTAACAAATGAATCAATGAACCAAATAATCAGCAGTGTGTATTTGTTAACGAACACGGACACTAAATAAACGTCGCTGACTGGTTAATATAGCGGTTAAGTGTAAATGAAGAAATTGAATTATATGTTCTACACATGGTTCCCCGGAAATGTAGTTTATCAAGCAGTTTCTGTGCGTATGAAATCCTACCCCCACCACACAAAGCACACTCCGATTGAGACACGCGTAAACAAAGTGAAATACAAAACGCAAATCGAAAGACTCTGGCCCCTTTGGGAAAAAATTGGTGGCTCTTAAAAGAGCCGTTTGATGGTCAATGCAAATCTACGACACCCAGTTTACTTGGTCTTAGCCGGCTTCTCAGTCTTCTTGGGCAACAACACAGCCTGGATGTTGGGCAGCACGCCGCCCTGAGCGATAGTCACGCCACCCAGCAGTTTGTTCAGCTCTTCGTCGTTACGAACGGCAAGCTGCAAGTGACGAGGAATGATGCGCGTCTTCTTGTTGTCGCGGGCAGCGTTACCAGCCAACTCCAGGATTTCAGCAGTGAGATACTCGAGCACAGCAGCCAAATAAACTGGAGCTCCAGCACCAACTCGCTCAGCGTAGTTACCTTTACGAAGCAGCCTGTGGACACGGCCAACAGGGAACTGCAAGCCAGCCCTGGAAGAACGAGTCTTGGCCTTAGCCCTAGTTTTGCCACCGGTTTTACCCCTGCCGCTCATTTTACCGCACTATACAAACGACTAACAAACAGCAATACCTCTTTTCTGGGCTTCGTCACTTATATGACATCCAGCCATTTCATTGGCTACACCCGATCATGTGAAGTTGTCCAATCAAATCGAAGGAATGAACCTCTCAAACGTTGAACGCTGATATTCTAAAGTTAGAACTCTAAACAATATGTTGGACACAAAAGAGCGAGTTGAAAATATCACGAGCAATTTCTCAGCATTATAGTAATTAAACCTAACATTTAAACTGATATTTTGCTATTTTTCTTGTGAAACGGACATGAGCTTAGCTAGTTAGCAGTCAGATACGCTGTGCTATTGAAATGTATTCAATATAACTGAATTGACAAAATTTATTTTCTGCTGACGATTGGGGGCGCTCAGCAGAATGTCGACTAGGGCACCTGTCCACCCAGGGCCGGCCCTGCTCAAACTGATACGGCTTACAACACTTGCATGCTTATGCGTAATAAAAAGAATCTATTAAAAGTGTGTTTTTTTTTGCAAAATATTTTTTTCACTGTTGCTTCCCACATCTAGGGTTGAGGTTCGAACATTGACTGACCCCATCGGAGTTGCCCCCTGCGGAATACTCAAAGCAGATCACGACGCTGCATTGAAAACGAAGTACAGAAATTATACGAAAACGATGTTGTCCTTATTTAATGAAACACAAGGTGGCAGCAAACACTACTAAATGAAACGTAGCATTAGCTAGAAGACAATCCAGATTACATTGCAAACAGATATTCTGAACATTTCATAAATGTATTTCCGTGAAGGGTCTATTGGACATGTAATTACGTACAGCCGATGACAGTAATTATGTCACCGAAAACGCGATGTGAATTTCCATCAATGAATGGTTTCACAGTGCGATATAGTTACTTTAAGTATCATTATTTCGGCTTGGTATAATAGGCTATTACATATACGGAGACGCCGAGACTGCTTTTTTCGTAATCAATCAGTTTTTAAACAAATCTGTAAGATGTTTTCTCGTGCCTTCTTACATAGACAGTACTCCCTTTGAGCAGGTGTGCTGTCTTTCTGTGCGGTGGTGTGCGAGGAGGCACGATAGACGAAGGATGCAGGAGAGAGAGCCACAAAAGGGCAGCGTTATTAAAGTAAAAAGACGGGGGAAACCCAGAAAGGGCGGACGATGTGGAGGAAGTGCTCAGCAGGAAAATGGGGGCGGCGCTACAGTCACTGGGGAGGATGTTAGGCTCTCCGTCGTCTGGTGGCGTAATGTTGACTGTCTGTCGCCTATGGCGTCACAGTATGTGGATGTTTTTTATGTGATGTGTGTCTGAAATGTTAGTTAAAATCGTAATGCAAAATAAAAAGAAGCGTAGGCACTGTTTAACCCTAACCCTAACCCTTTAAATTACATGCACCTAATGGGATTTGGGGAGAAATTTGTCATTGCGGGAAGTATTGTGGAGTCTTAAAATCAAAACCTTTTTAAATGTTAGGTAAAATTACTGTGAAATTTATTTTGCAAATATTACAAATTGAATGATATATGCAATGGGCACCTTCTGTATTTCTTAAATATGCCTTACAACGAATCTCCCAGTTGAAGATACTGATTTTGTAAAGAGCTCTTAATGAAGACACTTTTGTTTAAGAGCAAAACTCAAAATACAATAAGTAGCTTGACATTAACTGGAATTTGCTGTTCTTCTGGACCATAATAAGCATTACGGCTTCCTGACTTTTTGTGTATTTATTAATACAGGACTATGTAATCAATGTATCCTTGTTAAAGCGTTTTGAAAAGTGACTTTTGGCACAAGTGATCTGTCTGGTGCTGTTCCACTAGGCACCGGCACTGTTGCTCCATGATCTTGGCACATCCACTAGTTGCCATGGAGATTCCACACCAGAGAGCTGAAGAGGCACCATTTTAAAAGAGATAATTAATAACAAAAGATTACAGGAATAAAGCAGCCCGCTGTTCAGTGAAGGGGACTGACTACACACACAAATTAATGGGGGCACACAGGAACACTGAGACTCAAGAATCAGATAATATTCTTTATTCAGTGTGTATCAATTAGATGCTGACTCTGCTTCCTCAGTTTATGTGTGTTTGTTGGAGGTGGGGGCTTAGCAATTTAAATGAATGGTGATTTGAGCAGGCTGTAAAAGGGGACTAGTTCTTGCATACTTACTAATTCAGATGGCAGATGGTGCACATGCAAACGTATGGTAACATAACAAATGTTCTACATGTACATGGTTCTTGTTGTGTCTCTAACTGGTATAAACAACATAAATGACATGTATTCAGGTCAGAACAACCTGCAGTTTTCTGAAAACCTTTCCTTCAAACATGATCGTCCAGGCTGATGTATATCTGCAAGTGTGCTGGAATAAACACTTTTTGAAAAATTTTGCAAGGTGGCAATTTTATTATAGTGAAGTTAAATGTATCCAAGGACAGCATTAATTTATCCTTTATCATTCACCCATAATCATTCTGCCTGAATAGGTCCAGCAAAGGTTCCTGGTTAGTGTGGAGCTGCCCCCTGGAGGCACTGGGCAGGGGGGGGGGGCCCGGAGAGAACAGCAACTCATTGCAAGGGACACAAAATCTCACGCTACTGGCAAATTAGAGACGCCAACTCACCTGAACTGTATATTTTTGGACTGTAAGAAGAAACTGATACAGACACAGGGAGACTGCACACTTCACACGTACACTGCACACGCACTCTGCACACGTACACTGCACACGCAATCTGCACACGTGCAGGGCTGGGGGTGTTAATGGAAACTCTGGAGACTGCAGGACTCACAGATGAGTACCGGCAGCATCCCTAAACGTACCAACGACAACAAAAATGACAAAAAAGTTACTTCCCAGTGAGCCTCCCCAAAAGCGTCCCTTTGCCTCGTGCCCCTATAATAATTCTCCCTCCGTACTTGCCTGTGTAATCTTTTCATTTATCCATCCATCTGTCCATCCGTCTATCTTCTAATTGCAAGGGTCCTGGAGCCTTTCCTAACTATTATAGGGTACAAGACAGGGCTACAGGATGCCGGTCAGTGACAAAGCAACTTATTTCATTATTCATTCACCTATTTGCAATTTATTAATTGTTTGTTTGTTTATGCTTGTTGTAGTTTTAAAATCATAAGTTAGTTCACATTGAGTGTTTGCACTCCCTGAGTATGCATACTTTGATTTCAAAGATCTTGGCTTTTTTTTGTTTGTTTGCGTGTGTGTGTGTGTGTGTGTGTGTGTGCGAGCGGGTTTACCTATCCTTATGGGGACATAATGTCCCCATAACGTGATAAATATCCATTTTTTTCTCATTTTTTTCGGTGACTGCTGTGAAAAAACTAAAAATGCAAAATCTCTTGTATTTTGTTTGGT